GGAGAGCTTGCTACCTCATTTCGTTCTGCATGTGCACAGTGAGAACAAAGCTGACACTGACGCATGCAGAGGGCAGTTTGTCTGCAAACACAGATTCTGCACTGGCAGGAAAACCTCAAGCTTATCACCTTACAGGCCATGCAAGCGGATGGAAAAGGCTTCTACTCATCGCCATCTCAGAAGCCGGCCCGAGTTCCTCCCCATCCAGGAAGGAGCATGCTGAGCTGGCTGCTATTATTTCACTGGTATCGTGAGTCATTAAAGGAAAGGTTAGCCGTTTAGGTCATTACTCTGCTGGACGGCTAGGTTTTCAGATCACAGGTGGAGTGCTGAAGCAATATTGCTGAGCTATTTCTTTGTTTTCACCCGTCACAGAAACACAAACAGAAACATGCGATCCATTTATTGTGGACTGGTTGTCAAGTGCATCTGAGCGTGAATCGGACTTTGTTTCAGCGGGTGCCCACTGAGGCTGATGTAGTGAAGCTGGCACACTTTCAGAGAAGCAAGCCCTGCAGCCACCCGAGTCAATTAATGCACTAAAATGCACGCATGCAGCAGTAATTCCTGCGATCTTTATCAGGCAGTGTGCATTTTGCAAGCAGGTGAATACATACTGTGTAATACATACTCCAAAAATGTCTCAACTGCCAAATCTCTCAGGGCTTTTTTTTGTTGTTCTTTTTTGCCATGTTGCCTGCCAGTTCCAGCGAGAGTGACATTAATTACCTAATGTTGTTTTTTTTGGCACTTATTTCCCAGTGATATGACTAAACACACCTCAGTGGTGTCTGCTGTAATTGTAAGCATTTCTCCCACAACTCTTTCCTACAGGAATACACACACAAAAAACTAGATTAAAAGAAAACCCAAGTCTCCCAAGCCCTTAAACTAAAAGAGCTGTGTAAGATACACTAATCAGACTCCATTAATTCCCTCTCGTTTTTGCTCTCCTGCATTCCAACTGTATAGTGCGTATGAGCAACCGTGTGGATCGGATTAAGGGGAATACAATCTCCTTAGAGAATTTATTACTTAACTTTGAATCCGGCAAAGGCATTTTAACCCCCATGTTTGGTTTATATCATTCTGCGCCCCCCGCACCCTTAATCTTCTCCTTCCCACAGATGGACTATTTAGAAACATCATTCCATTGTCTTTCACTGATTAGCCTATTAGGAATGCAAAGGGCCATTTTTAAGTGTGGGAAGTGCAGAGTACACTGTCTTCTGTTACACTGAATCTTTATAGTGTACTAAAAGGAACTTCTGACTCTAGAGAGACCATGCAGAGCCCACGCGGACAGAGACGATGCTGATTACCCCAAATGCGCAATCTCATATTAAAAAAAAGACAGCTCGACCAAATCTCCTTATTTTGTGGCATACGGTGTGGACCACTCACGCATTTCTAAGGCAATTTCACCAATGTTGCACATTATGGTTTCAGTTCATGCACGTGGTTTCCGCAGATATATTATAAATTGACATAAATATTATGTATCTGAATATTATTATTTGCAAGCTGCAACGCCGCGACCTGCAGGTCCACGGCCCCAGTAGGAGGGACCGATCGCCGTAGCCGCACTTCCTTATTTAACTGCGGGATTGACAAGTACTGACATCAGCGGAAGAGAGCACCCTTTAGTCTCCGCCGGCTACCTTTCCCGGCCCTCCTGTTAACTTTTACGGCGCAGGCCAGCGGACCACCGCCGTCCCTTCGGAAAGCGCGAGGACCGGCGCGCGGCTGCCCCGGGGGCGAACGTGAGCGCGACACCCCGCGACACGGACGTGGAGCGGCACGAAGGTAAAGCAGCCGCTTCCGCGTCGCGCGCGCCGATGTGGGGCGCAGTTTTAGGGCAGGGAAGCTGGGCTCCGAAGGGGTTAACCCAGCATTTACCGACGAGGCGCCGGTAGAAAAAAGAAAAAAAACAACCATAGCTACTTTTAAATATCAGTCAAAGTCTCGCTTAAAGATAACGTTTTAACTTTAAAAGCAAACGAACGCTACCTCGGCTAAACCGGCTCGCAGGTCAGTGTCCTACATGTCAGTTCAGGTGATTGGGGCGACACGTTGAACTGCACTTAGCAGACATTACATAAGGCTGCCTTTTAACTAAATGTGTATTTATGTTTTTTTTTCCTTCCTCGTTTTATACCGCAGTGTCCTTAGAAGGTCCCTACCTCCTCCACCGCGAAACCATGAAGTGACGAAAAGCGTCGGCAGCCCCGGGATATCTCTGCACACGGTCTAAGAGAAAAAAAAAACACCCCGACGGTCTCCCAAAGCCGAGGCGATCTCTCGGCCCCGTTTCCCGGAGGATGCCAGCCGGTAAGCGGCGTCTCTCCCCCTTTCTGCCATATTTCTCCATGCTAAATTAGCCGGTTAGCTAATGCGTTTGACTGCTAATCGGGAGGGAGTGCAGAGGGGGGCGGGGGTGACCCCCAAGCACGACAAACCGAGACCTAAATGAGCCATTTTTGCCTAAAATGTGATGAATACTTATTTTCTGTTTATTTTAACTAAGTCGTGGTTGACATTGTGATTGGCGTGCTGCAGGGGTTAAAATTACCTGCACAGCGCTGCCGCTTTCGAGTTAATTCCACCGCAGCAAACAGCCAGTCGCCGCGAAAAAACGCAAACGGACCGAGGATATATTATTCATTTTAAACGATAAAAACCCGTGTAACAAGTTTTAACATGTGTCCTGGTCGGATTAACTAGATTTACAGCGCAGCTGTTAAAACGGTTAAATCCGGTTCCCACGCACTGTTGGATAAATGACATTTATTGCGTTGCTTTTCTGTTTTAAAACAGACCGCCGTTTATAATGTTGTAAGCTGAATAAACACGAGAGGCACCAGTTCCTGTTATGTGTGTTTGTTTTGCTGCAAAACGTTGAGTTAGGAAAACAGAAATCATCCCTCGGGAGTGCGTGTTTGCCTGTTGCGTGATGTTTGACAAAGCGGGTTTGGAAGCACGCTGACCCGGCCGGTGCTTTGCTTTGCCGGGTCTGTTGTGTGTTTGCCGTGCAGAACCGATCATAATGGGTTTACTAAGGTACTTGGTACATTGAGGCCCAGAGTGCGTAAGCATTCTCTGGTGGATGCAGCAATCCCGCCCCGCTCCCATAGCTGAACCACAGTGTGACGTTCAGCTGATTAAAGGTAGGTCACAGTAAAGTTAATCTCGGTCAGCTAGACCCCAGAGAGAACAGGCTGGAGATCCAGGGCCTCAGCTGACCTTGCAGGAAGGGCTTTCACTTTCCTGATTTTGGTGCAGTACTGAACTGATGTGCATACAAATTTTTATATGAAAATGCAACAATTGACTGCATAATACTGTAGTAGTGGCATGTCTTTTAATTGGATTAAGAGTCTGTTTTTTAATGTCCCGTAGCCTAAAATTGGTTTGATCATTGGGGCCTAAAACTTGCTTGGGTGTTGTGGTATTGACGTGTTTCTGTAAGAAGGCCATCACATGTGGGGAAGTGGAATTTGACTGCCCTTCCTGTGTGCAAGGGGATTCTCTGTAAGCTCTTTAGTATTTGGTGCTACTGGTTTTAATATCATTGAATATTAATGCACACTTGGGCTCCAGTTTGGAGGAGCAGAGTTAGGCATCACTCGTAAGGTATGCGGGACTTTTAATGAAATTTTCACACCCACAGAGGAAAGGACAGGGATTTTCGGGAGCCATATGCATGTTGGATGCACTCCCAAGGAGCTGAAGCAGTGTTTGATACATCAGTGTGTTGCCCTTGATCAGCGGGGAAAGGAGAAGAGGCCAGATAGCAGTGTTTTGTCACATGATGTATGTGACATTGCTTCTCTTCGTGAAAGTTGCATCACGATAATGTCAAGCCACAATGGTTCATTGCTCTTTACTGACAGTTTTGATTGGCTACTTGTTGAAGATTTAAAAATTATTTTAGTGCTGTTCATATAGTAGGAGATTATTTTGGCGGGTGAGCTGTCCTGGGTTTGGGGCTTTGGTGCGAAAGTGATGCAAGTTGCAGACACAGGCATAAAGTTTGTGATCCCTCCAATAATCAGAAATGGCCAATACAACCCCCCCCCCCCCC